CTCTGGCTACCCCGTATGAGTTGTAAAGTCCTCTTGGCCAGCAGGACGCGGCTGCGGGGGGCTACCGTAATACTGCTACTAACGAGCCTAATATAATGGGGCTCAGATCTCAGCTGGTGTCTCCCCCCCTGAAGCTTCCCTCCCTGCAGCTGTCTGGGTCTTTGAGGTCCAGCCGCGAGGGTCGCCCCCGTGCCCATACAGCCTGGGCCCCCAGCAGGGGCCATGCCCCTCTGGCTTGCGGGGCGCCATGCTCTGTCCCCTGCCAGGAAGCTGAGGGCCAGTTCCAAGGACATTCCCGACCCCTACGTCTCCCTGATCCTCCTGCCCGACAAGAACCGCGTGACCAAGAGGAAAACCACCGTGCGGAAGAGGACCCTGAATCCGGAGTTCAGCGAGAGGTGAGGGGGAAGGGAATCGGGGGGGACTCAGGCATGGGCAGATCTCTGCCCCTGGGCTGGCCCGAGTCCCATCTTATGGCTTTGTGCCCCCCCCCCCCCCCTCCGGGGTGCGGGGGGCGGGGCCCCGTGCGTGAAGAACAGCGTCTCCTTCATGTCCCGGGAGAGGGAGCCCCTGGGGAAGGTAAGGGGCTATCGCCATGGTTACCACTGGGCCTCCTGTTTCGAGTGGGGCTCCGGTCGGGGAGACGGGTGGGGGAGCGATCAGCTGACCGCAGCCTCTCTCCCCCAGGTGCATCTTGACCTGTCGCAGATGGACCTGAGCCAGGGCAGGGCCCAGTGGTGAGTAGAGGGGTGGTGGCTAAGAGCACCCCAGCGGAGCAGTCTGGGAATGCCCCTCCCCCAGCTGAGCAATACAAGGAGGGGTCACCCCCCACAGCTTAGCAATGGGGCGGATCTGGGTGCACCCCACAGCCGAAGTCCAGGGCCAGTGGCTCCCCTCGAGCTCCATAGCCCCAGACCTGGGAGGGGGGGGCCTTGTGCCCACACCCCCTTAGCCCTGAAGAACTTCAGGCTCCCCCAGGGGGAGGGAGCGCTCAGTGGTTTGAGCATGGGCCTGCTAAACCCAGGGTTGTGAGTTCAATCCTTGGGGGGGGGCATTTAGGGATTGGGGCAAAATCTGTCAGGGATGGTGTTTGGTCTGGACTGGACTCAATGACCTCTTGAGATCCCTTCCAGCTCTATGCGATAAGTATATCTCCATATGTTTTAGGGGGGGGGGACCCTTGGGAACCTGGGCTGTCTACACTGGGGACCCTGAGCACTGTGGGTCCAGGAGCCTGGGGCGCCATCCCCAGCCCCATGGTCACTTCCAAGCGTCCTGTGGGGGAAGCAGCGGGCAGCCAGCTGAGCACCGCCTGCGCATGGCGGTGGGATGTGGTCTGGGAGGGGCCAGCCCCATTCATGCCCCCCCCTTTGCTCTTGCAGGTACAACTTGAAAGACGACAGGAGCAGCTCTTAGTGCCACGACACTCCCCCGCTTCCCAGCTGGGGCCAGCCCAGGCCCCCTGGCGGCACCGGCTTTCGCTTGCGTGTCTCTAAGCCCCCCTCTCGCCCCTTCTGCTCCCTGGGACGCGATGGAGAGGGGAGCCGGGGTGGGGGAGCCACGGCCCCCCCGAGGATGCCAAATGCTCTCTGCCTTTTAACTGACCAAAGAAAACGGACCTGGGGGCGGAGCTGGGCAAGGGGGTGGGGCCTTGTCAGCGGGCATCAGTCCAGATGCAGCAGGTGAGGACGTGGGGCAGGGGTCAGCCCCCCCCCAGAGCCCCCCAGCCGGGTCCGAGACGCAGACCGTGCCGGACGGCCCTGCAGGGCGGTGCTCAGCAAGTCCGAGCTGGCACACGGCACTGTCCCAGCGCGGTAGAGAGAAGAGCCCAGATTCCAGGGTGACGGGCACAGCTGGGGCCCCGAGGAGGGCAGGGATCCTGTCCTGTGGAGCGAGAAGGAATGATTTCCATCCCCCACGTGCTGTATCTTCCTCCAGCCCCTGCAGGAAAAAGCTCCCAGCTGCCCCCACCCCCAAGATCATGTGCCATCACGAGAACCCACCGCCCCCACTGGGACATGCAGCCCTGCCTGTTCTGCGCTATGGGCCGTGTCTGGG